TCCGGCCACACTCCCCACTGCCCTGCCTGCATTTCCTAGAGCACCTCCTGAATACACTACGTTCACTCTGACCCTGTCTCAGGGTTTTCTTATTGCAGGGCTCAAGCTAAGATACATCACACAACATGGTGGCTGTTTTTCCCTCTCTTCCCCTAATCACCTCAATTTCTTGATGCCAGATTCATTTTTCTGGCTTCTCCCACTGCACTTAACCATGTTGAGAACTGTAGGCAATCCGTAGATACTAACCCAAATCATTACCTGGCTCAGATATCTCAGACCTCAGATATCAGGCCAAGCCTCAATGTCAGACAGTTCAGCTTTGGCTTAAATTGTAGGTAGAATCCGTGACAACTACTAAGTGTTCTAGGGAACCCACCCTTTCCCAAATCGTTGAAACACCCAAATTGTTGAAACAGATGCCTTGCCCAAGTGGAGGATGAAGCTCTGCCTGGGCTGAGGACACAGCATAAACCTGCTCTCCGGAGTGTCCTTGAAAATACTTCAGTGGGCTAATGGCCCAGTCAAAATCAGAAATAGCTGATTTTCATCAGTTGTCCTTTCTTACCCACTCACCAAAGCGTGTATAGTTCCTGAGAGTCGCACAGCGCCCAGTATTCATATGTTGGGACAGACCTGCACTAGACCGATAAGCTGATAGCTGGGCCCCCTTCCAGCTCACAGCTGTGAATTCTCCCCTGAGTGTCATGAGATGGCAAGTGCTCAGGAAAGAGCTAAGATGGATGGAGGAGAGCTAAGACCAAACACGGTGCTTCTGCCAGCACCACATAGCTGACTGACATTATTTCCATTAATCTACCCTGCAGGTCTGGGTAAATACCTTCCTGCCATTCTGCAGACATGGAAACTGAGGTTTAGGGAGGGTGTGGCTGGAAGAGCAGGAATTCATAACCACGTATCTAGAAGCAATGTTCTTTCCCCCACCCTGAGCTATTGCTCCATCTAAAGATTTGGCTGATTGTTGGTGAGGCCAGGCCATGTTAGACAAGAGGAATGTATCAGCTAGCTATTGTAGCATAACAAATGATTCCAAATAACCGTGGCCTTTCAACAGCAGCAATTCCTTCTTTCTGGCACCTCTGTGAATTGGCTCCTCTGACTCACAGGTTGGCTGATCCAGTCTGCGCTCAGCTGCCATCACTGCATCAAACTGCCATGGGACAGACCTTGGCTCCTTGCTGCAGATTGCATTCGGATCAGCTCCACCGACTCCACCGACGTTCATTCCTGGGGTCAGGCTGAAGTGTAGCTCTTCTCTCGATGTTAACAGATGTTAGCAGGTGAAACGTACAGTGAGGTTCAGAACTAGCACCCTGTTATTTCAGTTTCACCCCTTTGGCCCAGCAAGTCATGTGGCTAAATCCACATCAAGAGCTGAGAGTGACTCTGCTCTAGCGGGAAGAGGGGGGCTTGGTCACAGGACAAAGGTTAGAACCCAAGGGGCAGGGAAAAAGTGTAGCTAGTAATTTCATCTATAAGGAAGACAAATATCAACACAAGAGAATGAGCAACTGATAGGGAACGTTCCTAGACTCTGTGGAACGATATTTGGGTACAGGGCTCATTCTTTCCAGTTATACTACACAGGGAACAGCTCCTCTGGTCTTTAATATCTGTGCTAAGGTCTCTCTATTTGAGGCTTCTTAATTTTGGGGTTCCAGCTCCTCCAGGTGTTTGTTTTGTTGTCACTCTCTAGCCCTACATGCTTCTAGACATCAAATTGGCTAAAGAGATCAATTAAAGCAATGTTGGAGGAGTATGTGATTGGAATGAGGAGCAGAGCTACTCGCCTTTTTACTTTTCCTAGAACTGATCAGTTTTTGTCTTAGAAAATGAGCAACTTCTGAACATCATGACTATTTCCATGGAGAAGGAGTATATGGCTGGACTATGTAAGTGGGAGCAAGAGAAAGCCTCAGGATGGTCAGAACCCAGGCTCCCAGCAGATAGAGCAATTTAAATATTTGGGCTGACCAGTAACTCACTTGGAGTTCTTTTCTTTGGCAAATGTTAGAGCAGTATTACCGGAAAGTGTTAAACAGACTTTAATAGAAATATCCCAATCGTATTATGAGTTTAGGAAATATGCCACCTGTGAGTCATTCAGGGAAATAGTAGACTTAATTGATGACTATGGACTTGGTTAGAGCTGTACGAAATATTTGCATTTTTTCTGAGTTCAGGAGAGTCCTTGCCCCTTGGAGTTAGATACAGCTATGTAAATTCCCCTGGCGAATGAAACTTGAACATAAGTGAAATGTGTCATTCTGGACAGAGGCTTCAAGAGATACTGTGAAATTCACCATGACACCTTCCAGCTGCTGTGATAGCTGTAGAGGCATGTATTAAGGGAGAATCCCCATCATCCTGTCTCAGTGACTACATCAGTTTTCCTGATAGCTGGACATGGAGCTTGAGAGTGAGAGAGATCAACATTTGTTGTTAAATCATTAAAATGTGGAGGTTATTTGTTGGAGCAGCATAATTCAATCTATTCTGTCTGATCTGATGATTCAGCTTGATCAATAAAGAGGTGTATCAAAATAAAGAATGCAAAGATGACCAAACTATGATTTTTAAATTAATGATAATAACAAGAATTGATGATAACTCTTAAATATACAGCTAAGACTAAACATTTGCAAGGGTTTATGTTTCTGGGAAGAATGTAAAAGCTATTAACCTTGGCAAATTAAAATTAATAAAACTAATTTTATAAGGAAAGGAAGAAGGAAGAGTGTTAATTTTTTACTTTTTTTTTTAAGATTTATTTATTTATTCATACAGAACTGGGGTACAAGCCAGAGATGTGGAGGGTGAGAGGATTCACCAGGAACAGAGTGGGGAGCAGAACAGGCAGAT